TGACTCCAGGTCTGGCATGCTCTCCACTGCACTATCTAGTTGCCCCATATATGTGCTATAGGGATTAATTTTTGTCCCAAAGTCCTCACATTACCACCTCAACACTGTTTCACTTTTGATGTAGGTTGGAGGGGCAGAAGGGTGACCTAAAGGTCCTAGGTAAAATCTGTCTAGATTTGTAATTCAGAAGATCTACAATCAAAACTCATCTTTCTTACTTATTAGCCATGTGACCTGGGGCAGGACACTTCAACCCTTTAGACCTCAGTGTCTTCCTCAATAAAAATAAATGAATGAATGAATAAATAAATAGACTGATAGCAAAATGAATAAACAACTAGACAAATAAGTGAATAAGTCAATTAAAAATAAATAAACAAAGGAATAAATAAACAAATAAGGGATTGGGGGCAGCTAGGTGGCAAAGTGGATAGATCTCCGGCCTTGGAGTCAGGAGGACATGAGTTCAAATCCAACCTCAGACACTTGATACTTACTAGCTGTGTGACTCTGGGCAAGTCACTTAACCCCCATTGCCTCACCAAAAAGCAAAAAAGGGGGGGGGGCTGGGGATTGAACTTCTGAGGTCCTCCAAGAGTAGTCTTACAGGCCTGGAGCTAGGCTGAAGCCTGACCAACCTTTGAGGCTATAGGAAGGGGAGATGAGATTCACAGGGGCATTTATTTACCCTCTGCCCTTATAAAGTATGCAAGTCGAATTTAATGTCCAAAAGAAGCCCTTTGTGTGTGAATAGCTGCCCATGTATGTCCCCTGAGGGAGTCAGTTAACAAAGGTCACTGGAGTGATGGTAGACAGATAAATAAGAAAAGGACATTGCCCCTACCCATAGGAGTTTAATAATAACAATGCTTATGGTCATATAGCACTTTAAAGTTTGCAACAACCTTGTTAAGTAAGCAGTAATAAAAGTACTCAAGTAATAAAAGTATTAATTATTGCTAGTATGGTATCGTCTAATGAACACCAGCTCAAAGTCAGAAGGCCTGGGACAAAATTGCAGTCCTGCCCCCATACTAAATGTATGACTTCAGGCAAGTCATTTCCCCCTCTCTGAATTTGAATTTCCCAATTTTTAAAACGAATGTAATAATACTTGTGTTACCTACCTCGCAAAATTGTTGTACATATCAAATGAGATCATTTATGTAACACTTGGTAACTATAAAATGCTATAAAAATGAAAGCTATTATTATTATTCCTTCCCACTCTACCTAAGAGCTCTCCTTCTCCCTGCTGGGCAGCGTGGGGGAAGGAATGTCCAGCGCCTACACAGCAGTGCCTGGCATAGAACCAGCACCAATACCACATTCCACACCCCCAGCTACCCTAGCCGTTGCCCAGTGGATCAGGGGGATCAAAGAGCCTTTTCCCTGCCCCTACTGTAACAACCTATGCACTGCAATCTCACAGCCTACCCTAGACCTCACCCTAGATCTCTGGGAAGCATGTGGATTGTAAGATTTTTTTTTTTTAAACTAGGAAAGGCCCTTTGAGATCATTTGACCCAACATGGATAATAATTCAATAATCAGACATAGCCCTTCAGTTAACAGAAGACTTTCCTCAGAAAAATCTTGTGAGATGGGAAGGGCAAATGTTATTTTCCCCATCTTATGGATGAGAAAACTGAGTCTTCAGGAAAATAAAAGACTTGCCCAAGACCCCTTCACTTTAATTGCCAGTGCCAGGACTCTGACCCAGGACTTCTGACTCCAAGTTCAGTGGTCTTTCCAGCATAGCTCTTCCATAGATACTACCTTTGTGAGGGGAGCAAAAAAGCTGGTTTTCTTTGTCTAGGTCAATCCATAAAAATCTGACCAAAGGTGATAGAGCATAGAGGTAGAATATTGAAGGAGATGAGGAAGGGAAACTTCTAGCTTTAGATGTAATGATCTTAAAGCTTCATAAGAAAAAGGATAAACAAATAGTTAGAGGAAGGGAAACAAGTCCCCTCAGGTAGGAAAGACTCCTTATTGGTTGCAATGAATATGCAATGAAAAGATTGCCATCAGAGACACTTAGCCCTCACCCCTTAGCTCCAAGGATAAGCAGTACCATGAGAGGCTTTTCCTGGCTGTTGAAATGAATCTATCCTTCAGTGGGGTATGTATATGGAAGAGACAGAGAAAGCAGGAGAAGGAGTAGGAGGACACCTTCCCAGAATTTCATTTTCTCAGCTCCTCCAGGCAGCATGGGGAACTGGAAAAAAGGTCCTGGTCCTGAGTCCAAGGTCCTGGATTCAAATCCCAGCTCTTCCACTTACTAGCTATATCATTAGAAGTTATTGATCCCCACAAATCCTCAAGTCTCTGACCCATAAAATTAGAAGGAAGGTGATATTAAGTCTATTCCAGCTCTAAATCCTATAGTCTTAATCCCCTGTGCAGTTAATGTGATGGAGAAGGAAGGGGACTGGGAAAGGGTAGAGCCAGCACAATCTATGCAGGAATAGACAGACAGACAGAGATAAGAGTGGGACAGCAAATGGAAGAGTTAATTAGTAATAGAAGAGCCTGGGAATGGATCCCATGTGCCTTCTTTCCCCCCCCCCCACCCAAACCCAGTCTCTACACATCCTCCCTCACACAGCCTGGCCTTCCCTCTCCTTTACACAATTCAGAAAAGATGGTGCCCAAGTACCTTCCCAGCTCAAAAATGAGAAGACTTAAAATATGCCTCCTCATCCAGCTAGGCTCTCCCCTTTTGACAGTCAGTTTCCTCCCACACATGAAGTTCTGCCCGTACCCCCTGAAAGACCGACCCCTTTTTCCTTACACTCTTCTTCTAAACATATAGCTGACTCCACTCCAGCCTGGCCCACTCTCCTTCACATAGGTCAGCTTTTTCTCTCCTCCATACCCACTGCAGTCCAACCCTTCCTCTGCCACACACAGCCTGGCCCCTCCCACCTGATCTCACAGGCCCTGCCCCTTCATTTAGCTGAGTCTTTCCACCCATCCTAATCTCAGAAATTTTAGAAATGTTTGACCATCAAAGAACCCCTGTGAGAAAGATGCTGAGACAGGGGATAGATTTGAAGCTTCAAGATCTTCCATGTCAATGGAAGTATGAGTATCCATAAATATGCAGGCACCCAGCCACACTCATCAACCCAAAGATTGGTCAGTAGCTCAGAAATCCCTGCAAGAAATTCTCAAAAACCACCCAAAGGTACTTGAATGTTTTAAGGGACCTTCCAAGGTAGATTGAACAGAGGTACTAAGAAATTAAAGCACCATGCCAAAGTTAGAAAAAGACAATGGAAGTACCTCTCAATATCTGATATTTTTCAATGCTCTGAGAGATAACATCACAAAGCCATTGAAGGACCAGAAACCCTGAGAAAACAGGTGATAAGAGCCAAAAGCACCCAATTACAAGGATACTGAAAGAAAATCTGACAGTGATACTAGAAGATTACTGAGATATTAAGGCATCTTCACAAAAGCATTGCATAATGTCACAGTCATAGAGAGAAATCACATCACTTGCCATAGTGGCAAGAGAATTGTTCCACCATCTAACTAGTTGTGTGACCTTTGGCAAGTCATGATCTTTCTGGTTTTCAGTTTCTTCACCTGCAGAATAAGGAGATTGGACCAGTTTATTGATATCTATGAAGATCTACAAGGATTGATACCTACATAGGATGACTCTAAATTTCAGAAATTTTCTCATCTTTGGAGACTAAATCTCCACACTGGATTGAGTGTAGTCTTTCCAAAGTTGCTTGAAGACCCTTCCTCAAGACACTTGATCATAAGAATCCACAAACCATCCCTTGGGATTCATTCTTCTATTAGAGACCCAGAACTGTTGAGACACAAGTGTATAGATTCTGTCTGCCTATCCCTTCTACCTTTTCTGAGATGTTTTAGTTTTTGTCCATCTAGGGACAGAAGATGTCTAAAAGCCCTCCCTAGGTACATCAGTTAATTCACCCAGGAACATAAAAGGGCTTCCTGTCAGGATAGGATGGACAAGCTCTTCAAAGACAGGCCAGAAAAATACAAGGGCACAGGCCTCCCAGAGAGATTATAGCAGGAGAAATTGGAAGAGGGAATTGGATTTAAAAGGAACTTGGGCCCCTGCAGTGAGAACGATTTGGGAAGATGCTTGGATAGAGATGTGTTGAGGGTACAGCTGCTCTGGGAGGGTTAGTAATTTCTGTGATAAGGCAACACTGTTTGGGGCTTGCTGGGGAAGGGGGAGTAAACTGTTGCTGGGCTGATGCCTACTAGGGGCACTGACTATTGAAGAGGAAGGGTCTAGGGAGGCTTGTTTATCTTTAGAAAGGGGACTATAGTAGCTAGTTATTCTTTTGGAAAGAGGCTGAGGACACTGATTGTTGGTAGGAAGGGCCCCGAAGCTGCAGGGACACCAGTTCTAGAACCTGGACAACAGGGTGGGATGGTAGAGATGGCTTAGCCTGGGCCAGTGGGCACGCCCTGCCCAAGGCTGCAGTGCCCGCTCTCGCCAGCTGGCCCCGGGCCCCACCCGACCCCCTCCCGCTGCTTCGGGCCGACGTGGGGTGCGCCCCAAGCCCCGCTGCTGAGCCAGCTGCCTCCCTCTGCTCCACACCCGAGCCCGGCCGGCTGCGCTCCCGAGGGAACAGGCGGAACACACCACGGTGGCAGGAGGGGTGGGGAGGAATAGAAGGAGGGGGGGGGAGCGAGGAATGCGGCAGCCTGCTCCCCCCCCCCCCCCCCCCCCCCCCCCGCCTGGCCCAGCCCCCTGTCACCCCCCCCCCTCCGCCGCCAGCCGAATGGTCTGCTCCGAGCGCCCTATTTAATCCCCGCGACTGCAGCAGCGCCGGCTCCCTCCCCGTTCCCGCCTCGGCCCCGGGCTCTGTTGCGGCTCGGGGACGCTCTTTCCGCCAAGACCGTCATCGGACCCCCCTCCCTCCTCCGCCCCTCCTCCCTGACTCGGGGGACCCAGGCTCGCCAGCGCCCAGCCAGGGAGCCGGCCGGGAAGCGCGATGGGGGCACCCACCGCCCTGCCCCTGCTACTGCTGCTCGCCTGCTGCTGTGCGCCCGGCGGGGCCAACCTCTCCCAGGACGGTGAGTGAGGGAGGGAGCAGCAGGGGGTGGGGGGGAGGAAGGGGCGGGGAGGGACCCAGGGAGGGAGTGGAGAGCCTGTTGGCTTTGTTAGGTACCCAGGGTTATAAGTAGCCAGCTGATGCTGTTATCCTTGTGTCTGTCTTGTCTCTTTGGGCATCTCTGCCTGTGCATCTCGGGGTGTGCATCCCGGGGCGTAACGGTGTGTGCCTCCCCAGTGTCCGTATTTCGAAATCTATGTCTGCCTGTCGAGCCCAATGTTTCTATTTCTGGGTTTCTTCTATTGCTGTGTGCGTGTGTTGGTGTCCGTGTGTGTATCTGGGTGTGTGTGTCTGTGTTGGTGTCTGGTTCTGCGTCTCTGTGTCAGTGTCTGTGTGTATGTCTGTGTCGGGGTGTGTTGGGGGCGGGGTGAATTTCCGTCAGTGTGTTTTCTGTTAGGGTGTGTGCCGTGTGTCGGGGTGTTGTGTCTGTGTGTCTGTATGTGTATCTGTAGGGGCTGAGCGGCCAGTAAGATTCCCCGGACTGCTGTATGCAAGCATCATCACCACCACCACCACCACCACCTCCACAGCTTACTGCCCCCCTCCCCAGCCCCGCCGCCGGGCGGGCAAGGGAGGGGGACAGGGCGAGGCTGTAGAGGGGGGTGTGGGGGAAGGAGGGGGGAGCTTCTTCATGAAGCAAAACAACAACACGGGGGCTAAGGATGGGGGGACTCTTGGGACCCAGGAATGCAACATCACCTGGCCGAGGCAAAGGCTGTTATAGGAAATTCAAACAAGAGGTCAGATCTTACTCATAACGAGGCAAGGATCGCAGATAAAAGGGGTTATGAAAGATCTGAGAGCCTAGGGATTGCTGGAAAGCCCAGGACTCCGCTGGGTTAGAGATGGCATTGATTCCTTCCTTTCCACAGAACTTAGGTAGCTCCCTGTTAGTCTGGTGATCCAGATCTCCTTCAGGTGATCGAGGAAAGGAAAAGAAGGCAGATGAACCTGAGGTGGTGGGAAGGGGATCCGCGGGGAGGAGGAGAAAGAAGGGGAGGCTGTCCAGGGGCGAAAGTACGTGGGGAAAGGCCCCTCCCGCTCTGGGCCGGGCTATGTAGGTCAACTTGGCTAGGACCGCTGGGCGGTCTGAAAGCCATGGTTAATAGGGAGATGGGGGTAACTGCGGCGCAAGGATGCCTATTTGGCGGCGGCAGGGGGGCGGGGGGAGGTTGGGAGGTATAGGGTCTCTGAAAGGAAGGTGGCCTGAGAAGGTAGTAAAGGAATGCATCGTCTTCCCCTCCATCCATATAATGGCGGGGGGAGGGGGGAGATGGAGAAGGGGGAGGATTGTGGAGAAGGGAGGAGAACTGGACCGCAGCGGAGCCCAGGGATGGGGGGGGGACCCGCTGTGCCAGGCCAGATGCCAGCGGAGAGCAGAGGGAACCGCAGGGGAGGAGACAGTCCAAGCGACTCTTGGACTTCGGACCGGATGGCCAGTGGGACTGGGCACAGGGTGGGGCAGCGAGATGGGGAGTGAGAAGGGTAGTTAGAAATTGGGGGGGGGAAGAGAGAGAGAGAGAGAGAGAGAGAGAGAGAGAGAGAGAGAGAGAGAGAGAGAGAGAGAGAGAGAGAAGAGAAGAGAAAGAAATAAAAAGAGCCCAGGGGAACGTGTAAGAATACTGAGGAGCGGTCTGTTTCTGGTCCCGCCTCTTCTTGCACCCTCCCCCAGCCCCGCCTTCATCTTGATGAAGGAGCTTCCCCCTGTCCGGGGACCCCGGGGAATCCCTTCCCAGCCGCTGCCTGCCTGACTGGTTGGCTTGTTCCTCCCCTCTTATCCCCAGCCCTCCCCAAAGACAGCTCTAGCCCCAGTTACCAGGGCGACACCAGTTCCTCCACCCATAAGGGGAGCACCCCCTCCCAGTTCTTTCCCTTCCTCTGGGGAGCTACACTACCAACCCTAGACCTAACTTGAAAAGGAAAAAGGGTGGTCAGGAGAAGTCCACGCCTAGAACTGCAGCCTAAGATACTCTTATTTGCTGGGCCCTGATTGTCAAACAGCAGCAGCCCTTAGGCTCACCATTTATTTAGCCTATTCTACTATTAAGGGCCTGGTTTGGGCAAGTGACCAGGTATGACTGAGTACGGAGACCATCTGACACAGGGGTATTTCACCCATCAGGAAGGGGAGCAAATGGAGTCACAGGAAGTATTAATTTTTTTACAATTAAATCTAGAGGTAAATGGGACTCTAAATCATTTCTTCTCTCTTATTTTGTACTGAGGAGAGCCACTTTTGACAGGGAAGTATATAGAGCTGGATTTTGAGTTAGGAACATCTGAATTTAAATACCCTGCCTGTGATACTTACTAGCTGTATAACCCTGGACAAGTCACTTAACCACTGTGGGCCTCAGTTTTTTCATCTGTAAAATGAGTGAAATAATAGCACCAATCTCCCAGGGTTGCTGTGAGAATGAAATGAGATAGCATTTGTAAAGCACTCTGCAAACATTAAAGCATTCTATAAATGATAGCTATTTATTGTGATTGCTGTATTGTTATCCCACTTTCCTGTTCCTGCTGTCAATGGCATGGTCCCTGCTCAACCCTTATACTGAGCAGGGAGAAAAATGTCCCTTCCCCAGAATAGCTTTATTTGTTGTTTTGGTATATGGGTATTCTCCAAGATGTTTTTGTTTGTTTGTTTTATTTTTATGAACAGGACTCAAAATGAGGCACTTTTCTTTACTAGCTTGGCATTCATTTCATCCTATGCACTGGGCAAGTGAAGTACCTAACACTGGCTAAGCCAGAGATAAGAACTAGTGTAAGGTAGAAGAGCTAAGTAGTCCCAGAAATATAGGGAGTTAATGCTTAGGGACTTGCTACCTTTTCGCTGGAGACTTTGAGGGAGGTGGGGCAAAATAAAGTATAGAGGAAGAGGTTATGAATTTAAATGTCTATGTTATGGATAAAGTGTATCTGTGTATGTATGGCAGGAGGAGGAATTAAAGAAAACAGCCTTGACACTAACTCAAAAATAGTTAAAAGCAACCATAATCTTGTGTTAAATAATTTAATTCTTCTTTAACCTATCTAGGCCTCAATTTCCTCATATCTAAAAGGAGGGAATTGGACTACATGGCCTCTAAGGTCCTTCCAGCTCTTACTCATTCTTTTTCTTCTTATTCTTCCCTCCCAGCTTTCCAGTCCTTTAATTTCTTGAGGTCTATCCCACCACCACCATCATTGTGATCAGCATCACCACAACAACAATAACAATATCTGCATAAGCTTCCACAGTCAAAGGAATTAGCAATGTTGTTGAGAAATAGTGGAAGAGAGGCAGGTGGCAAGCTGTCTGTTGTGCTGGTGTTTGCATAGGTTGGGGTAGAAGAGGTGTGTCTCCCTGGAATCCTAAATGCAAACACTGAAGCTTCTCTGGCCTTGACTATTCCCCAGGGATGCCATTTTTAAGCTTGAAAGGCTGAGCAGGGATTGGTGGTTGGCAATGACAAGACATTTCTGAGACTGACCATGGTGTTAAGTGTAAATGCTAAGGATTACTAGGGTATTCCAAGATTTTCACCTGTCTCCTCCCCTCCACCTCAAAACTGTAGGATTGGCACTGCCAGTCCCCTGAGGTTGCCATCACTTCTCTGGAGCTGCCCTCCGGGCTCACCATTGTATCTGAGTTCTTTCTCTCTAGGATGTCTCTAACAGGCTGTGAACTGATCTGGGAAGAAATGAATAGTATGGAGGGCCTCATGTTAACTTAGTTCAGGGTTCAAAGAAGCAACTCTGCCTTGTGCTGCACTGCTCCCTGCACCACCTTTCTCCTAGCTTGCTGACCTTCTGTCCATTGCTGTCCATTCTGCAGCTCTCTGGCCAGGTTCCCAGTGTGGAGAACATGCCCAGTGCGCAAGGGTGGGCCCAGCCAGCCCTGCCCACAGAGCTATTTGGCAGCACTTCACCACCCTGTTTCTGTCTCTTGTCATAGGCACAGCCCCTGGAGGATGATCTTCCCACTCATTGGATGCAGGAGGAGTATTACTTAGCATAGGCAAGATGAGAATTGAACAAGGATCCTCTCTATATCAGGGGCCTAGTTTGACCCAGGTAGAACTAGCCTTTCTGGTATGGACTGCCCTACAGGGGACCAGGGAGACATGTTGTGGAATGCCAGTTGTATTGCCAAAAGCTGTGATGCAAATTCTATCGCAACTTCTTGAAGACAGGCAGGACTGTTGACTTTCATGATTTCCACAAGGCCGATGGTCAAAACAGACAGATGGAAAACTGTATACGTGCTTTGTGCCTTACTCCCTTCAGACCTTCTCCCAAGCCCTTCTAGTAGAGAAGTTCTAAGCCCAAAACCAAGGCTACCTTTTCATATAACTAGATCGGTTCCTAGATAATCTTTGACCTGAAAATAAGTCCCATCTTTGTGCATTCGTCACTGAAAAGCAGAAGACTAGGCAAGTACACTTCTACCTGCTTCTTGGGCATATTTGCACCACAAGTTCCTAAATGAGCTATTAGTCTCCTTTTGATCAGAGCAGCCAGGAGAACATGTAAAGCCAAACTTGGAGTCTCCTCCTCCTTTGGCCATACTCTAGGGAGAATCTTTACAACCTTCCCTAGAGGATTTAAACACCTGGGGCTTTGATGGATGGTATGATTCTTTGCTATTTCCCAGTTCACTTCAGCTCTCCCTCCTCTGTCACCTCAACTATGATAAAAATTTCAATTAAGGATGAAAATTCAGTTGCAAATTTCTCTTCTCCCCTTGAATGCAGGCCCTGGGCTGGGTCAGGTCCATGCTGATCGATAATAACCTTAAGGGCACATTCAGAGCTTGGAAAAGGCTTTCCATTCATATCTTCTTGGTATTTGTCACTTCCTGCTTAACTCTTGGCTACAGGCCTTCTGTTCATAAGACTTCCAGTCAATAATAAGCAACAACTGATTTTAATGTCAGGGTTGGTGTCACACTAGTTTTAGGGAAATCAGCTGCTT